GGGCTTAGACCAGCTCTGCCACTGGATGACCTGGGCAAGCCACCCTTCTGCAGCTCCTAGCACAGAAGAGCCCTTATCTGGATCCAGACGCCAGCAGAGAGGCCCCGTCCCTGGGGCCAGCTGTCTTGGGTGTGAGCACTGACTCAATGCGGCCAGTGCCCCAGGGCAGCCAGCCAGAAGGCTGCTCCGGCTCTCTGGGGTGCTGGCTGTCTCCCTCCCTCTTCCTGTGTTGAGCAGGCCAGGATTTTGCTGGTGTGACACTAAGCACTTTTGGGAAAAGGGGAGCAGAGAACTGAGGGCAACGTGCTGAACAGGCACCACTGGGCAGGGAGGACTCCCGGCCCACCCCCGGGGCTGGGCTGTGCCCCACACACCCTCCACTGGGGCCATGAGGAGGAGACAGGCCTGCCCTGCACACGTTCCTTCTCTTGGCTAATTATAACAGGCCTAGACCACACCAAAGGCCTGGTCTCTGCGGAGGGTGGAGGCGATCCGCCCCGCGGGTTGGGGTTCAGAGGCCAGCCTACACCGTGGGCGCCCACCCAGTGCCAGTTAACCAGGAGGGAAGCTGTGTGATTATAGAGGAATCCAGTAAATTACAGACCTCTGCTTCCAGGATCAGAGGAGGCGGCAGTGGCACTAATGGAGGCTTTTACATCCCTGCTGTCCCTCCCTACTGCTGCCTCTCCCTAGGCTGGGCTGCAGCTGGCGTTTGCAGAGCAGCAGTGACAGCACACTCGGGATGCCTTCGCCTGGCTGGGGTTGCCAGTCCAATGGCTTCTGTCCAGATGCCCTCAGGCTCGTGCAGCCGTGGAGGTGACCATGCCCAGAGAACCTCCCCTGGGTGCTGGGGAGGGAAGTCCTGGAAGGTCTGCCTGCCTTCCTCTGACATAGCAAGGGCTGGGGGAGGTGACACACCTTGGAAATTCAGGTCCTCTCCACTGGGGGATGCTTTATGGTGGCTGGAGATGTAGTAGGAGGGAGAAATGAATTCCACTGAATTGAGAGGGGAAAGAGCTTGTATTGCAGCTTCTGAGCTGCGCTATATTTAACTCCCACTTGACACAAACACTTGGGTGACCCTTGGGAGAAAAACACTCTGATAAAATACAGAATCCAGGCCCCATTCCACCCCTGTGCCTGAGACTCCTCCCAGCCTCTCGCCCCACCCCAGTGACCTGTCTGTCTTACACCTATCTTGTATACCTTGATGCTGTATCTGGACACTTGCCAATCTTCAGACAAGGTCAGGGGTGCTTGACCTTTCAGCTCCGCAGGCCAGATGAGTGGCATGGGGCTGGTCCATGGGCCCCCTGTGGCCTTGGATCATCCCCATGCACTGGGATTGGGCCCCACCCCATCCCCGTGCACCAGGATCGGACCCTATGCCAGGATCAGGCCCTGGGGCTGTGCGCTATCCCTGCCTGACCCCATGCGCTGGGATCAGATCTCATGCTCTGGGATCGGGCCTAGGGTGACCACTTTTTCAAAATGGAAAGACAGGACACATGCCCGCCCCTCCCCAACCCCCACTCCCTCTGCCAGGGAGGCACAGCTGGAGCAGAGCCAAGCGGAGAGGAATGGGGGCAGGTACGGGATGCCCACTGCGGGCTCAGGACTCCCCACGCTGCTGCCTTTCCCCCAGGAGGCCACACTGCCATGGCAAGGCACCATATGGCAGCAGTGGGGGGCACAACTCCACACCACTACCACCCTGACTACAGCCAGGCAGGCAGGGGAAACTCAGCATGGTGGTATGGCCAGCATGGGGCTCCCAGAGGGACGACAGCAGGGTGGGGAGCCCTGAGGCCGCAACAGCCAGCCCATATCTGCCCCAGCCCTGCATACAAATCGGGGGGGGCACATGTCCCCCCTTGTCCCCACAGGGGGTGCGCACAGCAGCAGGGAGCTGGCCCCATTGCTGCCCCCTGGACAAGCCGCTCACTCTACACCCAGGCCTTATGCCCCACCCTGGCTGAGCAGCACCCCCAGCCCCAGCCACACTCCCTCCCTCGCTGTGGGGGCCTCAATTTGCCTCCCCCCCTCCCCACAGACTTACCTGCAAGGAGCTGCTCTCTGCACTGCCTGGCTGTGATCCCAGCTATGTGCGTGCATGCAGGGGCACACACGCACATGGCATCCCCTCCCCCCAGCCCCAAGCAGCATTCCAGGGGCAACCCGCCATTGCCCACAATTTTCCGTGGCAAATGGAAAACCTGGATCCCTCCACACTCCCTCCCTCGCTGTGGGGGCCTCAATTTGCCTCCCCCCCTCCCCACAGACTTACCTGCAAGGAGCTGCTCTCTGCACTGCCTGGCTGTGATCCCAGCTATGTGCGTGCATGCAGGGGCACACACGCACATGGCATCCCCTCCCCCCAGCCCCAAGCAGCATTCCAGGGGCAACCCGCCATTGCCCACAATTTTCCGTGGCAAATGGAAAACCTGGATCCCTGCGTGATATCGCAAATCCAGGACAAATGCTGTCCCAGAATCGTGCAGCCCAGGACCGGGACCTGATGTTCTCATTCCAGGACTGTCCTGCCCAATTAGGGTCTCCCTAATCAGGCCCTATGCCACCCACACCTGGTCCCTTATGCCAGAATTGGGCCCTGCATGCCAGAATCAGGCCCCATGTTGCCCCTACCCAGCTCCACATGCTGAGATTTGGGCCCACTCCACCTTGTACCCCCGAAATAGCCTGCAGGGCCCTGTCTGTCTAGCCCATGGAGCTCCCCACAGGTCTGGAAATTAGTAACAGGGGAGGGGTTGCACTGCTCCCCCACCACTAAATGTAAGCACCTCTGGACTAGATGATTGCAATGATCCCGTCTGGCATTACAACCTGTGGGGACACCTTGTTCTTACCCCTTTATAGAGATGCCCCGCAGCATGGTGACAGAAAGGGGGAGGCTTGGCCCTATGGGCCAAAATGGAGCCTGCATGTTGCCATCTATGATTTGCCAAGATCCCAGAGGCCCTTGTAAGCTCAGGGCTCCCAGCATCCCAGGCCAGGGCCCTGCACCTGGGCCCTCAGGGCTAAAAAGGAGCCCATTGCCAAACTAAAACATCCATGGCTGGCAAAGGAGCAAGAGGTGCCTGTCCTCACCCTGGGCCATGGGCCAGAAGGGCACAGCTGGTCAGGCCCCATCTCCTCTGGCCAGTGTCCCCTTCATGCAGGTTTCCCAGGTGTTTCCCTCAGAAGCCCCTGGGTTGTGACTCCTGAACGTGTCCTCAGAGGTGTGGGGTGATGGGGAAGGCCTGCTCCAACCTGACCTGGGCTCTTGGGAATGTGGGTCTGCAGGGCTGAGAGGTGAGACCTGGTCAGACCAGCTGGGAGGGGGCAGGCTGGCACAGTGCTGGTGCTTGCTGGCTCATGTTGGTGGCTCTGGTGGGCCGGAGTCAGTGCACTATAATTCCCCACGAGCCTCCGGGGAGAGTCCCGGCCCCCGTTCTGCAGTGATTATCCCTGTGTCCTGGGAAGGGCAACCCAGTCATAGCAGTGAACTGTGTCAGAAGAGGCCAAGCACAGCAGGGGGGCTGGTGCGTTCCCCTCTGCACGGCAGGGCACGCTTGGTGCTTGGTCGGAGCCTCTGAGAGCAGAGTAGAGTGGCAACAAGCTCCCAGGGCAGCTAGATGGGGCGTACGGCTCCCATGGGAGAGGGAAAGGTAGTTAGCCGCGATAGTGCTGCCCTGCCCTGCCTTCTCCACGTGGTGACAGTGAACCGCCGAAGCAGCCTGCTGTGGCAGGAGGGGGATTCGCCTTCTCGGGGAATATTTAAGCTCAGATGGATGCTTCTTGGGCAAGACATCCTCCAGCTACTGGACTAAAAGCAGCATTGAGTTCAGGGCAGCCTGTGGCCCAGGCTGGGCAGTAGGGCCGTCTGGATGATTGCAGTAGATCTTTGCAGCCATGACACCCACGTATGTCCGGCTGTCTGTCCAGATGTTTATGAGGTCCTGGGTATGCAACAGTAAACTTAGTGTATGCTCACAGCCTAGTTCTGAGGCAGGGAAGGGTTAAGTCCAGTTACAGATCATGGTGCCCATCTCCAAGGTAATCGGTGCTTTACAAAAGAGGTCAGCATCCTTGTCTCTATCACAAAGACAGGGAAACTGAGGCACGGGAAGGGTGACTTGGCTGACGGGCTCGGAATGGAATTCCGATTCCTGGAGTTGCTTTTCAGTGCCTGAACCCACCTCCCTAACAGGCAGCCCCTTCCCTCCTCAGAGCAAGGGGGAACCATGCAAGCCAAGACCCAGCCCTGCTATTTTTATCTGCTTCAGCGAGCCTTGGCAGCCAGACACTCCTGCCCTTGCAGCGGGTCTGTGTGAGAAGTGGGGGGCCCCTGTCCAACATGCCCTGAATTTAAAGTGAATGAAAGAGCACAGGAGTGAGGATGTGCAGTGCCTGTTTGTGAACATGAGGGGGTGCTGGGGGGTGCAGAAGGCAGGGAAGGAGACCAGCCCACGGGGAGAGCTGTCCAGGCTGCTCGTGATCTGCAGCTGTGGCAGACTCCGGCAGCAGGCATGGGTTCTCACGTCCTGCTCAGTGGGGTGGATGCCCTCCCCAAGTGGGACAGGCCCTGTGCTGGGGTTTGCTCCCTCTCTCCCTAGAAGCCTCCCAGGTCCAGGTGTGCCAGCAGGCAGAGCTGCTCAGGGCACGCCAAACCTCAGAGTATCCATACATCCCCCTCACACCAGTGGGGAAACTGAGGCACCCAGCCACTAAGGGATTTACCCGCGTGGGTCAGGAATAGAGCCATGTCTCCCTTCCCCAGTCCGTGCCCGCCTCCATTCTCTCTCCCTGCCCCTCTTCTTGCCCTAATGTGAGCTCTGTCACAACTGCCTGCAAATGGCACAACACCCGCAGGCTCAGGCCTGGATCAAAGTGGCAGCTGCCAGAACGATGGCCGGTGGGAGGGAAAGGGGGTGACAGGAGCAGCAAGCAAATCGCTAACATGGGCCTTTCTCTTTTGTTTCCTTTTCTCTCTGCTTCAGTCCTGGTACCTAGGATAACTGCAGCTGCCCCCCCCTTCGCCTCCCTCCTCCTCTGCTTTAGGCATCCCGAGAGGACAACGTACCACAGGACCAGGCCCAGCCTTTCGGTGACGACGGAGAGAGCGAATTCACAATGATGACGACGACAAACACACAACATGTGACAAGAAAGGAAGGAAGGAAGAAGGAAGGGAAAGAAAGAGAGAGAGAGAAAAAAAAAGGTTCAAACCTTTTTAGAAACTATAAACCAACAAAAAATAACCCTAAAACCAAGCGAGCCCCACGCGCACACACGGCCGCCCCAGGCAGACTCGCCACAAACACTATTTGTCCCGTCGGCCAACCTGGCAAGAGAAGCAACGCAGCTCGTCCCACTGGCCGCCTCCTCAGCCACGGCGCTGGAGTCTCGCTGCCACTCTCCAAAGGGTTGTATATGCAAAATTGTCTTTCTCATTTCCTGTTTCATTTTTGCCTCTTGTGAATGAAAAAGAACAAACCCCGCCGGGCACCCTCGCCCACCCCGCAGCAAACTTTCTACTTCCCGGGAGGCTCTAGGAACGAGACAGCGGGTTCAGAGCACAGCGGCCAGTTGCTTCTGAGCCCATGGGCATCGGGTGGGTCGGGAGATCTCTCGTTAGTGCTGTCGCTTCCCGCTCCACCCCAGACACGCTGCAAACAAGATGCCTCCAGCCTCCCGCTGCCCCAGCGTTCGGACGACGTGTACACCTTTCCTTTGTTTTATCTGAAATCCTCTATGCCATTAAATGCTCTTTGGGGCAGGAGTGAGTGGCATCCCCGCGGGACTCCTTGGAGCAGCAGTATTGCAGGGATGCAGGGACATGGCCCCTCTCATCCTCCCACTTCTCCAGTTGCCTTTGTCCGTGACCATCTACGGAAGGGGAAGGGGATTCCATGACTCCTGCCTCAGGTCTCCGCCCTCAGTGCGTGCGTGGGGAGCAGGACCTGGGATCAGCAGCACCCCAGCCCCATGCTCCCGGTCAAGGGCAGGCTGGCCGTGGAGCAGGGCACTGGGCTTCGGTGAGTGGCATTTCCACAGCTGGGAGATACTGTGCGATGGGCATTGCAGGGAGGAGACGGAGGGGAGGGGCACAAGACTTGTGATGGGCACAAGTGGGTGCAGCAGGAGGGTAGGGAAGCCCACAAAGAGCAGAGCATATTGCTGTGTGGATTGGCATGGCCAGGCACTGCAAATTATCACTGGGTCTCAAATCCCAGAGGTGAAATTTCTTAATTACAGATTAACGACTGCATTATGGAAACTCCTGGAATCCAAAATTCCAGACCCTTCCTCCATGGACAATCAAGTCCACTGGCACCTCCCCCACTCTCGCCCCACTCCGGACCTGGGACAGCCACAGTGTCCAGGGGAAGCGGGTCTGTCTCTGCAATGCCTTCAACACAGCAGAAGGAATGAGGCCAGGGTTGGGTTTCAGCACCGTGCAGCATGACGGCTCTGCCGCCCTGCCCCAAGTCTTGCCAGGACCAGCACCTGGCCAGGGATGATCATGGCGCGTGGTTTCCATGATGTAGCCTGGTGAGCTTTCCATACTGTAGCTTTCCCTTTGCAGCTCCTGGCAAACGCAGGACATGTCTCCTGCTACCACAGTTCCTTCTGTGCATTTCCTTTGTGCTGGGGCAGGGAGGTGAGGTGGGGACAGACTCTGGGTTGGTAAGTTGTACGAGCAGCTCGTGATGGGCCAGGGCCTGCTGTCATGCTGGAAATGAGACTGACTTAGGCCAAGGCCAGTCCCTAAATGGCAGGTCTGGGCAGGGCAAGACAGGCCAGCCAGAGTGGGAGGGCTGGCATGGGACCTGGGCACACCTGTGTGTGCAAAGCTCTGCGCGCCAGTGAGCAGGGACTGTGTGGGCTGGGGGCAAGACGGCTGTGATTGTGTTGCACATTTTGTAGGAAATGCACTTTGAAGAGGGAATGATAGCAAAGCCCATTCGTGGCACCTGGTTCCCGGCACCAGCTTGCTGGGACAGTTTATAGAGACAGATTCTTTCTCCCTGAAAGGCCGCACCGCAAGCAGACAGCCCCCCTTGTGGTGGCAACGTCGGCCTTTGACTCTGACTCGGGTTAGCTAGGGGTCCTGTGCCCTTACCTGCAGGGACCAGAAGACCCCCCCATCCAGCTCGCAGGCTCCCCTTCCCCACTGTGAGCCCCTCCCTGCTTAGCCCTGCTGTGAGGTGATGCCATCACATTCCCAGCAAACGCAGCTGGGAGGCAGAAAGCCGTCACTGACTGGTTAAAGTGCCTGAATTTTGTATCCCAGTCCTCCTGGTTTGGAAAGCTCACACCCCACGGAGAGTAGTGCGGTGGGAAGGGCCAGGCCACCGGGAACTGTGGCATCTCCACTGGCCTGCAAGGGCCTTGCATCTATCCTTCTCCCCATAGCATTAATGAGGTCCCTGCACACGAGGCAGGAAGCCAGACTGAATCACCCTTTGCCTGGCCTAGGCCGGACAGCACCTGGTGCAGATATACCTGGGGAAATCAGTTGAGTTCAACTCCATGAGCTGGAGAGCCGGGATGTGCACCAAGCAGGAGAGACCAGCCCAGCACAGGTCCGGTGGGGCCTCGCTCCCCCAGACTGTCACGGATCATGAATCACAAGCAGTGCATCAGACAGACCTTCCTGGTTGATCTTGGGGACAGAACAGCACTATCCGGCTGGCTGCGGAGGCCCAGCTTCCCCGTGTCACACATGCTGCACCAACAGAGACCAGGGCCCCTGGCCCCACCATTTGTTGACTCATTTGGCCATGAGGGGCTGGGAAACTCCTGCTTCCTGCCCTCCCTGAGCAGAGCTGGCCTGGATGGAGCAAGCTGTGGGAGGCAGAGGCACCTGCATGCTGTTGGCTCCGCGGTTTGCTCATTGCAAGACAGAGACGTGAGACTTCACCTGCCTGGCAGGGCAAACCTCTCCATTGTTCTCTCTTCCTGCCTGTTTCCTGCCTCCTAGGCTGGCACATGGATCCCTTGCTGTGCCAGGGCCCTAGGAGATGTCCTAAGATGCCAAGCAGCTGGAACAAAGCAGATGAACCCACTTCTTCGCAGACACTGCCCAGCTCATGATCCTGGACAGCTGGCAACTCCTGGCCTGAGAACAGCTTTCGCTTACTTGCTGGGCCTGGGTTTCGGCTTTGATCATTGCTGCTGGGAGGAAAAGGTGCATTGCAGTAATGTTGCCTGGGAAGCTTCAAGGTTATGGCAGGGATGGACCCAAGGCCCCTGCCAGGATGTGTGGGGCAGCTGGGAAGGGCCCATCTTTGTGGACATGCCAGCAAACAGAGTTGCAGCAGAAGTGACCCCACTGAGCCAAACTCTGCTCTCAGTCACACAGGCTTGGATCCAGAGTTACATTGCACAGTAATATGGTGCAGCCTGGCCCTTCAGATCTCCTTGGAGGAACAAGGTCTGCACAGGGCTATGGCCAGGGTCTTCAGCAACCAAGGACACAAAATCCCTGTCCCCCTACTATGCCTGAAGCCCAGTTCCTGCCCAGGCACTGTCTCATCATAGAGGAGAGCAACGCTGGACACTGACCAAGCCGTCCGTGGGCTGTGACGGGGCCTGAGGGAGCAGATCCGCTCTCCTCCCTCCCTGGCCCACACACTGGTTAGTGCCTTAGACCCCAGGAGGATGCTTGTGGGCTGCCCCCAACCACCCCACCCACCACAGGGCCAGGGGCTACTCCCTAGGGCTCTCCTCTGCTTTACAGAGGCTGCAGGAGAAACGGGGCTGCTTTCCCCCTTCTTCCTTCCCCTAGTGACCCTGAGGGAGAAGAAGGGAGATTCAGCAGCCAGACTAAGGCACCAGCTCTGCAGGAATCCAGCAAACCCCACTACCTGCACCCAACCTACAGAGCCCCAACACCAGGCCAGCCCCCAGACACCGCAGGGCTGGGGAATCCCAGACTTAATCATGTCAGTCCCTGGCCCTGGGAATATCGAGGCCCTTTGGGAGGTGGGAGGTGGGGAAAAGGTTCATCCACTCACTTACCTGCCCATCTAGCCTTGGTGAATCCCTGAGACCCCCATGAGCACTAGTGTCACAGCCTGTCCCCAGTTCACCCCCTGTGTCCCACTCCTGAAAGATATGCCCAGGGCAGGGCCTCTTCTGCAGCTGGGCCCATCACCCACCCGCCCTACCTTCTGCCAGGCAGAGCCAGAGCCTCTGCCCTGCTCCAGGGTGCTGGATTCTGCTCTTCTCCTCCCTGGGCAGAGGAGCAGGGAACATGGGGACACCACCACCAGCCAGGCCACATTGACTTCAGCAGCGGTGAGGCAGGAGAAGGAAAGAGGTGACAAGAAACCTGAAGGGGACAGCAGAGAAGAGAGGGCTGTGCAGGCTGATGGCAACGGAGCAGATGGGCAAGGGGAAAGAACTGTCCCCATCTGGGGGCCAGGAAAAATTCAGCCACCTCTGCCAGCCTGTGTCCATTCCAGACAGCCAACTCCAGTGAACTCCAGTCCAGGCACCTCCCACCACCTGTCTGCAGAGGGCCCAGCATCCACTTCAGGCAGTGCCAGGCAGGCTCCCCCTGTGCCCACGAGTCATCCCAGGTGGGCAAAGAGCTCCAGTGCCAGTCCTTCCACCGGCCAGCTCGTGGCTGCACCTTGAGTCCAGTCCAGGGGTGCACAGACAGATCCAGGCCCAGCTTTGACACCTGATCAGTAACTGGGCAGGACTGGAGGCTGCAGCAGGTGCTGACCTCCAAGAGTCACCCATGAACCCCCTGCCACCTCCATGCCCATCAGAGCCGGGCTCCTGCTCAGCCAGTGCACATCCATGCATCGTGTCCCCAATGGCATCTGGGTGCTAATCCCAAAGGTGACACAGCGAGGTCAGAGGAGCTCCCCTTTGGATGAGTCCCTGAAGCCCAACACAGAGGGATCCAGCTACTCCTCTTATGCAGGTACCCATGGCTTTGTAAGCAGCTTTAAACCAAAGGCTGAGTCGCATAGGAAGGACGTGGGGCAGCTCCTTCCCGTCCAGCTTCCACTCTGCTCCCTGCTTCCCCGGAGCTTCCAGCAAGTCATTCTGCCGAAGCGCCCAGTCCCCGGTACGATTCCTGCAGCTCCCAGCACCTGCATCCCAGCTGGACACCGACCACAGCCAGCGCCAGCCCTGGGGAGGGGGCCCTGCTGGATCCCAGCCCAGTTTTGCAGCGGAGAGTTGAGCAAAGGGCTGTCACGTAGGCCCCACTCTATGCCAGGCACCTGGGGTCAAGCCATCTGATCCCGAGCAGCTATATGCATGGTCCATCAGCACTGCAGAGCCCTGAGAACCGGGGCCAGCTTAACAGGGGAGGGCAGGGGGGAAATGGGCCCCAGTGCAGAGACCCCCAGTGTAAAGGGCTGATGCAGGAAGTCAAAGAAAAGGGCAATTGATGGAGAGGGGGAAAAAAAGAAAAAATAACAAAAAAAAAAAAAATTACAAATAAACTGCATGGTGCTTTAACAGGAACTCATGTGACCTAGCTCAACCAATCAGCGAATGGCTGATAATGTGCATGGCAGACTGTATAACTGGCTCTACCTTCCCCCCTTCGAAAATGATGTATAAAAAGAAAAAAAAAAGTGAAAAAAATCCATGTTTTCCTAATTTGCACGAAATTTTATACCACATGATGTGCCTTGCCTTCGAAGACTAAGTATTAACTCTACTGATATCACTGCACAGGAATAACTGCATGCACTGGGTCTCGTAGTAACTAAAGGGGGGATGGGACATGTTGCCATTTGTAAAAACGTTCACAGTTCAATTTGGGGCTGTTGGTTTGTTAACCTTTTTTGTTAAACTGTGTGTTCAGACACCATTGGGAAGATTCCTTGTGGCTCGGAAATATTGTGATATCATCGCAATGTGCCAGACTCTCGTCTCAGCAACACCGGCGTGAATCCAGGGCATCTCCTTTTCGTCCTGCTTTTATCCACTTTCTGCCCTTTCTGGCCCTATTTGTGGCCACTGGAGTTACTCCGGTCTTATACCGTGATAACCCCATGTGTGTGGATGGAGTTACTCCAGTGTCACCCCAGCGTACCTGAGACGACCGATCTGCCTGCCCTGAGTGTCATGTTTTTTTCTAACCAGGCACCTCCATATTGGCGGAAAGGATAAAGAATAAATGACTAAGGAACTTTATTGGGTTTCCATCAACGTGGCAGCGTTTGACACTGATGGACTCCCAGGTGCAGTGTTGGGGGCTGATGGCAGCTGGTCGGGAACAAGCGCCTTGTCCCTCCCAATTCGCTCCAGCTTGCCGGTGCCATCAGCCAAGGGGATCTCTCCATATCGCCCCCAGCCTTGCCCTCCCTTGCCCAAACGAGGAAATAGCTGTCCATAGTAGCCATGTGCATGTTCCCTTTCTCCTTGTGTTGGGCAGAGTTGCCAGACCAGCCCTTTTCTCTCTGTTTTTTAACGGCTTCCCCTCGTATACGTCTTCCAGCTGTTAATACAAAGTGCATCCTGTATGGAAAAATATGCAATACCTGTTTTGTCTACATTGATAGATCTTTTAGCTAAGGTTCTCAGTGACTGATTACAAACCTGCAGGGTGCGGGGACAGGGGGGGCGGGAATTTTCTTCTGGTGGGGTTTTTGTGCGGGGATGGGAGGGGAGGTGGGATTTTGCATTGTGTTCCTTTTCTTTTTTTTCCTTTTGATTGACCAAAGTGAGCAAGCATGGCCATACGCAGGTGGCCAACACCCTTCCTCCCAGGCAGGTTGGGGAGGAAGGGGAGGTGGTTTCTGCTGTGGTGGTGATGGAATTTGTCGTTGTTATTAGCGCGCTGTTTCTTTAAAAAGGGCAGATGGTTCCAAAGGGGGTGGGGCTAGAACCCTGGAGATCAGCTGTGAAGCACCTGGCCACTCCCACACCTGGTCCCTGGTCCCAGGATCCAGTGGGGAAATCATTTGGATCTTCCTGGCGATCTTAATTTCCAATCCAATCAATTCATTTTGTTGAGAAAAACAACAAAACCCAATTGAGGTGCCCAGCACACCTGTTTGCTAAGCTGAGCGGGAGCTAGAGATGCAGCCTCGCCAGCCCCAAAAGTCAGCACGGGCAGCAAAGGATGCAATTCGGTCCCTGGACCCGTTTCCTAGGAAGGGCACGGCCAGATGCTCGGGGCCCAGGGCCTGCGCTTCCCAGTCTGACGGCGGGGCGGGACGTTTTGCAAAAGACGGGCTGCGGGGGGCTGGGCTGCGGGGCACCTGGTGGGTTTGCGTTGGGCTTGGGAGGAGAAAAGCAGAGCAAGGGACAGGCAATGTGGATGGGAGATGTCTTAGTGCTGAGTGTGTCGCCTCCTTCCCTGCAGAAGAACCCTGCAGACGTTCCCATGCAGACTCTGGGGGCTGGACCTGGGCTGGCCAGGCTGCCTGGTCTTCTGCAGAAGCATCTCCCACTTCCCCACATCGTCCCAAAGGGCCTTCGGGCTGGGGCAGAGCTGTCTGAGGGTGGCAAAGCCAGGAGGAGGGAGTTCTGCTGCAGCAAGAAGCAATCGGTGGGCTGTGGCACTGCCACCTTCCCCTCAGTCAGCTGAGGCCCTGGTCAGCGATGCCGCTACCCCAGGTGGGGCAGGGTGCATTCCCTCGAAGCAGTTACCATATGCAATCCACATTTGCATGTGCAGGGCTGAGGCAGGTTTGGGGCCAGGGTAGCAAGGGGAGCACTGTGCCCCGAGCCCAGGTTCCCCAGGCCCTGGCACTCGGGGCCTGCCCAGGTGCTCTGTGGGAGCCTTTGTCTTGCTCTGCAGGGACCCGCTCTCGTGAGCTAGTCAGTGCATCTCTAAGGCAGAAAGAAAACCTGAAAGCACCTTTTGTAATATAGAAAAAAAACACAACAACAAAACCCATGCACACGTGTTTCCATGACACTGGCTGGAGCGAGACATTCCCGTCCCCCGGGTACCTCACAGCTCTGGCATCCATGGGGGTTCATCCTTTTGGTCATTTCTTTCATCTCCGGTGTTTCCTTTCACCAGGAGTTTACATATTCCTCTGATTTCCGGGGGCACGATGGGCCTGAGTCGACCCCTCTCGAGGGTAGGGGAGGCTCGGAGGCAAGGGAGTAGTCTAGCTTAGCTGTCCCCCCATCCCATAGCCAGGGACACGC